CCTGGATCTGGAGGGTGAGAGCAGCCAAGATGGGTGGGGCCCCAAAACACCTCAGTGGGTTGGCAGGACCCCAATGCACATCAGCCCCCCCGCTCCGATCTGAAGGGTGGGGGCAGCCAAAACGGTGTGGGGAGACCCCATAGCAACCCCAAACCTCCCCACCTCCTGTGCCCAGCCCACCCCCCTGGGCAGGGGTCCTACCGGACACGGAGACCCTCATGACGGCCTCCAGCGGGCGGTTGTTGTCCAGGGCGGGGCTGAGCCGCAGCTCCCCACTCTGGGGGTCCAGTAGCACCAGGTTGAGCTCGTTGCCCTGCTCGAAGGCGTAGGTGAGGCGGTCGGACACGTCAGGGTCGTGGGCTGGGATGCGGCCGATGACACCGCCAGGGAAGCTCCCGGAGCGGTTGGTGATGTAGTTGTTGAAGAGGATCTCAAAGTTCTTCAGTTGGGGGCTGTTGTCGTTCGCGTCGCGCAGCCGCACGTGCACGGTGGCCCGGCTGACCAGCGGCGCCGACGTGGCCTGGACCACCATGACGTACTCGGCCTTGGCCTCGTAGTCCAAGTCGGCCAGTGCTGTGAGCTCCCCGGAGAAGATGTCCAGCTGGAAGACCTCCGGGATGTTGCCCTCCACGATCTGGTACATGATCTGGGCGTTGGTGCCCTCGTCGGGGTCGGTGGCTGTGATCCGGGCCACCACCAGCCCGATGGGGCTGTTCTCCTCCACGAAGATGTCGAACTCGTCACGCTCGAAGACAGGTGGGTTGTCATTGACGTCCAGCACCGTCACCTGGATCTCCACTGGAGTCCGTCGTGCTGGCACCCCCTTGTCGACGGCAAAGGCCCGCAGGGAGTAGAGCGGCACATTCTCCCGGTCCAAGCGGCGCAGAGTGCGGACGATGCCTGAGGTGGACTCAATGATGAAGTCACCATCACCGTCGTCACCCCCCTGGAAGGTGTAGAAGACCCTGCCGTTGAGCCCAGAGTCGCGGTCAGTGGCGGAGACCTGCAGAACGCTGGTGAAGGCAGGGACATCCTCGTAGACGGAGCCCTGGTAGGAGTGGCGGAGGAACTGCGGTGCGTTGTCGTTGACATCGCTCACCAGGATCTCCAGGTAGGTGGTGTCGGATTTCTGGGGGATGCCATTGTCCCGCGCTGTGATGGCCAAGGTGTAGGACACCTGGTCCTCGTAGTCCAGTTCCATCTGGGTGGTGACGGCGCCAGTGTTGGCGGCGATGCGGAACTGGGGGATGCTGTCCTCCATCAGGTAGGTGATGCGGGCGTTCTCCCCGGTGTCCTCATCCGTGGCGCTGATCACCACCACCGTGGTGCCCACCGGTCGGTCCTCGTTGATGTTGACGGTGTAGTGGGAGCTCTGGAAGACAGGACGGTGGGTGTTGGCGTCGGTGACGTTGACGACCACCAGGGCGGTGTCCTGGCGGGTTCCGTCGGACGCTGCGACAGTGAGCAGGTACTGTCGCTCCAGCTTGTAGTCCAGGGGCAGGGCAAGTGAGATGAGCCCCCCACCGCTCTGGCTGGTGATGGAGAAGCGGTTGCGGGTGTTGCCGCTGGAGATCTGATAAGTGATGACGCTGTTGGCGTCGCGGTCGACAGCAGACACGGTGAGGACACTTGTCCCCACTGCCGCGTCCTCGTTGAGGCGGGCACCATATTCCCTCTGGGTGAACTCGGGGCTGTTGTCATTGACATCCAGGATGGTGACACTGACACTGGCCGTGGAGGCCATGGGGGGTGTCCCCTGGTCCTGCGCCTCCACGCCAAAGCTGTAGAAGTCCATGGCCTCCCGGTCCAGCTCGGAGGCCACCACGATCCAGCCGGTGCCATTGTTGATGGTGAAGGGGAAGCCAGCGCCGGTCTCCAGCAGGGTGTAAACCAACCGGCCATTGTCCCCTGAGTCGGCATCGATGGCCTGCACGTGGATGACGGAGTAGCCCACAGGGACGTTCTCCAGCACGGTGGCCTGGAAGGGCGTGCTGACAAAGATGGGGGCATTGTCGTTGACGTCCAGCACCTGCACAGTGACCAACCCACTGATGTTGGAGAGGGGCGGGCGGCCGCCATCCTGCGCCCGGATGCGCAGTGTGAACTCCTTGGTGACCTCGAAGTCCAGGGGAGTGATGACATCCAGGGCGCCCGTCTGGGCATCGATGTAGAAGTGGCCACGAGTGTTGCCGCTGACGATGCTGTAGTGCACCAGGGCGTTGCTGCCCTTGTCGCGGTCAGTGGCCGTCACCCGCAGCACGGCTGCATTGGGCACCACATCCTCGGGCACCTGTGCCACGTAGCGCCGCTCGCTGAACTGCGGCGCGTTGTCATTGTCGTCCTCCACCGCGATGCGCACGGTGGCCGTGGCACTGCGGGGCTCCTGGCCCTGGTCTGCCGCCTCCACCAGCAGCTCGAAGGCATCCACCGCTTCCCGGTCCACAGGGCCGCGTGTGCGGATGACGCCGGAGCGGGGGTCGATCTCGAAGACCTCGTTGGCGCTGCCGGCATTGAGGAGCCGGTAGAGCACGTTGGCATTGGGTCCGGCATCGCCATCAGTGGCACGCACGGTCAGCACCTCGTAGCCCACCTCCAGGTTCTCCCGCACGCTCTCACGGTACTCAGGCTGCTCAAAGGACGGGTCGTGGTCGTTGGCGTCGCCCACGGTGATGGTGAGCGTGGCCATGGCGCTGCGCCGGGGCGCGCCGTGGTCGGCCACTGTCACGCGGAACACGTGGGTGCTCTTGCTCTCGCGGTCCAGCGGCGCTGCTGTGGTGACGGCGCCTGTCACGGGGTCCATGGCGAACAGGGCGTCGGAGCGACTGTCAAAGAGCGCGGCCATGGCGTAGAGCAGCCGCCCTGCTTCGCCCTCATCAGGGTCCTGCGCCGTCACCTGTGTCACCGGCGTCCCCGCGGGCCGGTTCTCCTCCACCGTGGCCTGATAGCTGGAAGGCTGGAACTGCGGTGCCGTATTGGGGCTCCGGCGGGGGCGGAGCATGGGGGGTCCGGGGGCTGCCCTGATCTGGGGGGCCTCAACAGCCCTGGAGCCCATCGTGTCCCCTGTGCCACTGGTGTCCCCAGTGTGTCTGGTATTCCCAGTGTTCCTGGTGTTCCTGGGGATGTTGTTGCCCCCAGCATGTCCGGTATTCCCAGTGTCCCTGGGGACTTTGCTGGTGCTCTCAGTGTCCCTGGGGATGTTGGTGCACCCAGTGTGTCCAGTATTCCCAGTGTTCTGGGTGTCCCTGGGGACTTCCCTGGTGCTGTCAGTGTCCCCGGGGATGTTGGTGCCCCCAGCATGCCCAGTATTCCCAGAGTTCCTGGTGTCCCTGGGGACTTCTCTGGTGCTCTCAGTGTCCCTGGGGATTTTCCCAGTCACCTCATTATGTCCAGTGTCTCTGCTGCTCCTGGGGACTTTCCCGGTGCTTCCAGTGTCTCTCCCAGTCTCCCCAGTGCATCCAGTATCCCTGATGTCCCTGAGGACTGGGGTGCCCCCAGTGCCCCCAGCCCCCCCAGTGCTCAGCATGGCCCCGGCGCTCTTGCTGTCTGAGAGGACGTCAGTGTTCCTGGTGTGTCCGGTATCCGCGGCGCTCCCGCTGTCCCTGAGGATATGGGTGCTCCCGGTGTCTCCAGTTCCTCCAGTATCCCCTGCGCCTCCGGTATCCCCGGTGCCTCCAGGAGCGTCCCTGACGCCTCCAGCGTCCCCAGCGCCTCCAGCATCCCCAGCGCCTCCAGGGCTCCTGGTGTCTCCAGCATTCCTCGTGGCTCCAGTG